GTTGTTTTGTCTAATCTTAAACAAATGCTTAAATTAACATTTCCTTTTATGGGGTGTGTCGGGGGTTCCAACAAATTAATTTAATATTTTTTTTTTTTGCCTTCCCCCCCCCCCCCCCCCCCCTTCAGTAGTGAGATAATAGCTTGGGGCTCGTGGCAAGTCGAAGTGGTCATCAGCCGTTGATACCTAACTATCTCATATGATACCTACCTAGATAAGTATGGGCGTAGTGAGCTAAAATAGACATATCGACTCACAAGGTCGAGTCCAACCCAATGTGGAGAAGCTTACACCCTAATAATATGATAAATGTGTCAAGAGCCTCAGTGTTCGTGTATGATCTTATGTCACAGGCTCACTTCAGGCACAGACGAACTAAGATTATGTACGCATGCAAGCGCCACGTAACGGGATCTACTCAGTCAATAGTGTAGTCAGATAATCCTAGATCGAAGCAGAAAGTACATGTTTAACCTTACTATTGTTTGTAAGGTATGTAAGTTGGAGGATAATTTGTCGATCTCGTGTGTATGCCATTATAGTTCTGTACCAGATGAAATAGTTCGACATATTTGATAAGTTGAAGAGATGTATACATGGAACACGGTAATTGAAATTATTCGAAGTAAGATAAGAACGTAATAACACACGGGAGGATATTGCATTATGAATAAATAATAAGATGGCCAAACTTAATACTTCCATTGAGATTTCAGTTACTTTTATATATGATAGAAGATATAAACAAGAAGTTAAACGTCACCATCCAGTTAACTTAATATAAATCAAGACCAACACTTTCATCACTACGCCTGGGATGAGATTTGTTAATTATCATGGTGAGAGTTATTGTGGCACGTAGCACTTGACTACAGATAACTACGTAAAGCATAGAAACATAAACATGTAATTTAATATTATCTGGTTTAAAAATATTTTGTAATTAACAATATCTGTCCTTAGAATTCAATATTAAGTACTTTTGCAGTTGTGAGAAGTTAGGTACTATATAAGCAATAATTTTGATGTCCATATATTTACTCATGTAGATATTAAACTTATTTATCAACTAGTTATACATATTTGTTCGAGTTTTACGGTGCTTTTACCATTTATCATATCAATGGCATGTCTTGGGGTGATTAAGTATAAGAGCTTTGAAATAATGTATAGAATGATTTAACACAAGATTAAATATATTGTAATTAATGGACATTTTAAAGCTATAAACACTTATAAGACCAACCCAAGAAGTTCTTGAAAAGTAGTAAATGTACACACATTTTACAAACTGCGATCGTCTCATATGCTCTTAGTCAAGATAAAAGTTACGTATTAATGAATACAGACACGCCTAATTAGAAACCCTACCATACCGCAACGAAAATCCAGACTGTAGAATGTCCATCAAGTACAGGGCTATCTCTACTTATTATTAGCCAGGCCGGACTAGCTACGAATGACCTCTTATTATCGAACAGTGAAGCAATTTCCTCTCTACATACCGAGACTCAGCCCTGATTCCAAGTGTATTCTTCTCATGTTGGATTTGCTAGCAATCTGAATATTGAATGAGCTGAACGTAAGTCTAGCATAGGTGGTATATTCTTTTCACCCAAGATAAGAACATACGGAATTTGGTTGTCATAAACACAGTAACGGATACATGTAAATTTTGAAATAGCCTCGATATATTATAAGACCTAAATAGTGTAAAAGCAGCTATATTGTTGCCTTGATGACTATAAATATAACTGCCTGCGATCACGAATATACACACATGTGATCATTCACTTGCTGCGTGTTGGGCCAAGCATCCTAGCAAGTCAAGATGAGTCATTGGATTAAAACTGGCTTCGACTTGACTCACCTAGAAAACACGTGAACCAAAGTCTACGGGATATAGCATGTTATTTGATACGATCGCGTCAGAAACACACAAGCACGTACCACACTACGAGCTGGACACTACAGTGCAATCATAGGAAAGACAGGCAAATGTTCTTATGTGTTCGTCAATTGATTATGCCTCGATGGACAAATCCATGTAGTGGACCCCCAAATCCCTTATGATACAGTGAACACCATAAACGCAGAACCGAATCCCATGATCTTCATGACCAACCACAATGCAAATAGTATGTGGCAACCGCGAAAAAGACTTCATAATAAACGTGACCAAACCCCTTCCAAAACCCAAGATTGAAAGCTTAACCACCGAAACCGTACAGGGTGCGGCCTTGTCGCTTCAGGGCGTATACAACGTCTAGAGATGTGACAGTCTTGCGCTTGGCGTGCTCAGTGTAGGTGACGGCGTCACGGATGACGCCCTCGAGGAAGGACTTCAGAACACCTCGGGTCTCCTCATAGATCACTGTGGGGTAGACGCGTTAGTTAACTGACGCGCCGTAGACGTGACCGAGTAGGTATAACTTACTGGCTGAGATACGCTTGACACCACCACGACGGGCGAGACGTCGGATAGCGGGCTTGGTAATACCCTGGATGTTGTCACGAAGAATCTTGCGATGACGCTTAGCGCCACCCTTGCCGAGGCCCTTGCCACCTTTGCCGCCTGTTCGAGGTATGTTAGAGATATGATCCAATAAGGCTGAAGCTGAAAAGGCTAAATGCCGAAGGATGTAGCCGAAGCTAAATGGGATACTTACGTCCAGTCATATTGAATGAGGTTAGAAGAGTATATGGTTGTTAAGTGTTTTGGTATTGGGGTTGCTGGTGCAAGTGGTACAGATGAGGCTGATATGCAAGCGGTATGTTTGGAAGATGGAAAGATTGAGACGTGGGGAAAAGCGACAGTTTTAAATATCAACGGGGCGGGTCCGGTAACTGGGAATCAGATCAGCCCGGGATTGACGCGAACTCGTGCCTGATCAGCCCCACCGGTCGCAAAATAAAATAGAGCATTCCGACCAATAGAAAAATAGAGAACTAAGTTCCAACGCGCTCCGCAGGGCAGATGCGCTTGATTTACACGGACCCCACTACTCCCATTCGGGTCAGATTTGATATGCAAGAAGTTTAAATCAACTTGAGCCAATCATTAATTCGCATTCTCTTATCGCTTTCGGGCTTTTGACTTGTTCTTAGCAGTCAACTTGTAAATCTATGAACTAGATGTGTCACAAACGCACCTTAATGGTAATAATTAAACCTTATGCACCTATTATTTATTACCAAGCTAGGAATAGTTAGAAATCATTTAACTGTCAGCCTTAGCCTGACTTGTTTTATATGTACATGAGAAATCCATTGCATTCCATAAAGAAGTCCTTAACCTAGGTAGATTTGTTATGTTTTGAATGATGCCTCAGGCATATTGCCTACGTAGCTACCCTCCTTCACGCATAGTATATTGTCATATGATTAGTTATTAGAGCATACCTGGTTTGCCACCTAGAAGATATCTGCTAAATGCTTCCAGCCACAGATAGAATAATGAAATAGGTAGTTACTTAGATAATATCTTAATAGCTACCTCATAAATACATGGAAACGTGATCTAACAAATCGAGTAACATGCAAGGTACTTTTCTGTGCTGCACTCTCATTAGTCCTAATTAAGTTGTAGCCTTATCAAATGCCTTATCAGTTTTAGTATATTGCCATATGTACGTATCGAATAACAATTGCCTTTTCCTTGATCTAAAGGATTAAATGCTACAAAAGTAGTAAAGTCACTAAAATTGTGGAGAGCGCGCTACGCTGCACCCAATCAACAATTAGACGGGTCCCGAATGGCAACCAAGTCTCAAAATTCCCACCTAAAATCCAAGCAGTTTTGAACAGCAAAACGTATCCCTGTCTCCCCCCCAAAAATAATCAACAACGCACCCCAAAGTAACCGCGCCTTTCGAATTTTTTTTTCCTTCTGATCCTGCAACGCTGCGCATTGACCATCTGATTAGTTGCCCCAGAGTACCTGCCTTGCACACAATCAGCCAAAGGGATAACCCACTCTCTCACATATTTAACCCAGTTCCCCCACCCCCTCCAATCCGTTTTCTCTTTTCTACATCTACAACAATCCACATTCGCCTCATCTTCACAACCATCAATATCACCACTTCCATCAACTTTTTCATCACCAAACTACTCGACAACATCATCTACAATGGCCCGCACCAAGCAGACCGCCCGTAAGTCCACCGGTGGCAAGGCTCCCCGTAAGCAGCTCGCCTCCAAGGCTGCCCGCAAGTCCGCCCCGTCAACCGGAGGTGTCAAGAAGCCTCACCGCTACAAGCCCGGTACCGTCGCTCTTCGTGAGATTCGTCGCTACCAGAAGTCGACTGAGCTTCTCATCCGCAAGCTCCCTTTCCAGCGTCTGGTAAGTCACTATCCGTTCTATCATCTCACTATCGCTTCATCCACGCGTCATTTGACAAGTGGATACCGCGACCGTGTCGTTCTACTTAACGCGACTTCCCCGCATCGCGACAATCAACATCAAACTAACGCGTCTTTTAATAGGTTCGTGAAATCGCTCAGGATTTCAAGTCCGACCTCCGCTTCCAGTCTTCTGCCATCGGTGCTCTTCAGGAGTCCGTCGAGTCTTACCTCGTCTCCCTCTTTGAGGACACCAACCTGTGCGCCATCCACGCCAAGCGTGTCACCATCCAATCGGTTAGTATCTTCACTCGCATATTCACTACTTTTACATATTCTAACAGCCATTACAGAAGGACATCCAGCTCGCCCGTCGCCTCCGTGGCGAGCGCAACTAAACAGTTGTGCGCGTACGGTCTTGGTGATTTGCAGGGGTTTTGGACGGATGCTGCACTTTATGATTCCCACAGGGATGGCATGATGAATTCGGTTTACAGGGAATGGTAATCATTACGGCGTTTGCGATTACGTTGCTTTTTACAGATATGGATTGTACCATCAGTGATAGGGCAGTTAGCCTTCCGCGCTGCGATACTGAGCTGAGAAATCAGAAAACATGAACAAACAAACTCACTAGTCTTTCCATTGCCCGAGTGACTTAATGTAACTATCGCTATTAGTCTATGAATCATACCGATTGTCTTATGCCGCATATTGTTTAATGACTTGGTACACAACAGCCATCGGCCTTAATCATATAAGCGAATCTCTTGATGTTTGACTCTTCAATGTAGTATGGTATTCGAACTAAGACACCTTGTCACTAGCCATGATAATCAAACCGCTCTCAGTATGTTTTCACCTAGTTACCTAAATATGCCAAACTAATGTTTTCAACTATCGCGAAAGTGAACGTGTGTTGACCTGTGCTTACTTCCCCTCTATTATATAATAATCTCGATATTGATCACACTCCTGACTATGTCTATCGAATGTTCTCTTATATACGTATCTTACATATGTGGATGAATCTGATCTTTACTTCCGCTTGTTGGAACATCTTTGTTTTCTCAAGTCTGAACTAATCCTGTTGTATCAACTAGGTCAGCAGCAATTCCGAGATGTCGGGTGACCAAGCGAGATTTAAACTAACATTCCCTTTACCCGGCGGCCGGCTTAGTCTATGTTGGCATAGTGAATTCCGTCCGCTCTGACTAATTTCCCCTTATTTTTTCCTGTATGATATTCGTATACGCGTCTATGTCGTAGTGTAAAGGTGTTTACTGGAGTTTATTATTCTCTAGTGAAACTCGTTAAGAATCTTAATCCATAATAGAAGAGGATGTAGCGGGATGTTACGCTGATTCTCACATTTCGATATTTAGAAATATGAGAAGTACTATACTGTTGACGATATGCACGTTTCTTTCTATTGAGTCACAAGTTCGTAGTCAATGATAATATATAGTTCCTACGGCTGCTTCGCTAGAAGTATAATGAATACATGAATTTGCCTTATGATGATGAAGCTTTCTCATTTCACTCAAGCTACAAGACATGAGTGTGAAATAGCTGGTATTTCCCCATATCTAACACTAAGAATACAACTGTACTCCTAACCAAGATTTTAAAGATTCCATTGCGCCTATTTTGATTCCTTATTAACTACGACCTCTCAGCCCAGGTGGTTCTTCCCATTCTTCGGATGTGCCTTGAGAAGAACATCGAAGGCGCCTGTGCCGATCATGCCCAGCCTGCCCATGACGATTCGGCTACTGGGTGTGGTAAGATCATCCCAATCTCCGTCGAGAACGGCGTCCTTCAAGAATGACAATGTGGTTTCGAAACTCATCTTAGTGAACGGGCTGACGTTACCCTTCAAGCCGTTGCGGTTGAACGGGGTAAACCCTCCGTTCCTCGTCATATAGTCTCCGATGAGGTTGAGATGTCGTTTATCGACACCGATACCGTGACCTTCGAAGACGCCGCTAAGTTCCCGAATGATACTGTTACGTGCTGCCTCGACGCCATACACCTGGAGCACTGATGCAATATCGTTCGTCTGGATCTTATTGGGGTTGATGAAGTCGCCATATTTATGCATGGCTCGGAGATTGACACCGGATGTGTGGATAACCGCCTTCTTTTCTTCCTCACCAGTTCGCGGGTCGACTATCTTCTCGTCGGCTACGAATGTGCAGGACTTGATACCATCGATTTGTTGTATGAGTGTCTTCCGGACTGCTTCTTGGAGAACGCTCAACATGAGGATCTTAGGTATGTTGGAATCATATTCGAGTGTGAAATCACACCACTCGCCCCTCTTCTCGTCACATGTGAAACGAGATACGACCGGGTTCCTCTCCTTGATACGACTTTCGCGGGCACCGGCTCGTTTACTAGTACTGCCGTCTTCGTCTTCGTCGTCGTTTGGTGGAGGCGGACTTCCGCCGAACCCTTCGTCCTCAGGCTCCTCTTCATCCTCCGGCGACGCCTCTCTCTCCATTCGCTGCTGGATCTCATCATCTTCATCATCATTCGCACCATACGATACTGCTTGTGCTCGGTTCGCGCGTTGCTTGGCATTTGTTGCGTCATCGTCGTCATCGTCATCGTCATCATCATCGTCATCGCGAGCTACGGCATCGGGGTTGCCCGATGCTACTTCGACTACGCCAGACTTGACACCCACCTCAGGTACCGCGTCGCCCTCCTGATCAACCTTTGCCTTAATTTCCTTCTTGATTAATTTTTCGAGCACTGGTAAAAATTTAATCTCGAGGGTGTTCAGGACGTCAGAAATGCTGATCGCATAAGTTTTTGTGTATTCGGTAGACGGGAAGAACTGGAGGTGAATATCGAACATCTTTGCTAAGCGGTAGCCAATGCCTTTACCGACACGTTCCTTTACCGTAGCTTTGTCGACGACGTGCGAGAGGGGAAGGATACTGATGGCTTTTGCAAAGGTCTCTCCATCCGCCTCTGATAGTTCTTCGTTCAGTACTAGCGTCATGGACGGCGTAGAAATATGGTCGCTAGCTGTCATGAGAATTTCTCGCAAACGGGGGATACCAAGAGTGACGTTCTTCGCAGAGTGACCAGCCAAATGGAACGTGTTCAATGTCATTTGAGTCGAAGGCTCACCGACGGATTGGCCAGCAACGATACCTACAGCCTCACCTGGTTCCACTAGGGAGTGGAGATATTTGGCATGGAATATCTTCTCGGCGTATTTACGGGGGATGAGCATAGCACCTGATTTCTTCTCGCCCTTCTCCTTGATCAGACCGTCTTGGTTTTTCTTGATATATTCAGATACCTTCTCGTAGAACTTTTCTGACGTAGAGAACGCATGGCGGTTAGGATTAAGCTCAGTGTGAATGGGGTCGAGGGCCTTTGGATCATTCGCCTTGGCCTGCTTGATGGCTTTCTTTTGGTACTTTTGAGCGTAGTCCTTGGATTCGTAGATTTCTTGATCCCATCCCCTATCTCCAATACCGAGTAAATTGACCTCAGATGTCTGGTTGCGAAGCACAAAGCCGAAATCAGTCAAGTATTTCTGCTTGGTGATATCTAAGCCGTCTTCTCCGTATAAGAACTGAACCATTGATCCGTCAGCATCTCGTACAGACGAATCGTAAGCAACTTTCAGGCCTTCCATTCCCTTGATTAGACATCTTTGTAGATAACCGGATCGTGACGTCTTCACAGCAGTATCAATTAAACCTTCTCGTCCAGCCATGTGATGGAAATAATATTCCTGGGGCCGAATTCCAGTCAAGAAACGGTTCACAATATAACCACCTGCTCGCACACTTGTTTCAAACGGACGGAAGCATGGCAACGACTTGCCGCTAACCATTAGAGGGACTCTTCGACCTTCAAGAACCTGTTGACCGAGGTTACAAGAAATCAAGTTTGCATTAACAGTACTTCCCTTTGCACCGGATGTTGTCATAGACTGCATCTGATTCTTAGGGAATTGTTTTACAAGACCTGCGGGAAGAGTCTTATTGACTTCGCTAGACAGATCGCGCGATCGAGAGTTCATCATGCGATCGAGGCCTTCTTGCTTCGTATCGTCACGCATAACCTCTTCTAACCGTTCCAGTAGCAGCTCATCCGTGTTAGTAATATTGGGGCGGTCACCCAGACTCACAAATTGTGCAGCAACTTCAAGACCGATATGGCTGGCGCTCTTAAGCTTCTCCTTGCGGCTCCTCTCACCCTCTGGCGTGAGTCGTAAATCGTCCATACCGCAAGTGAAAGCGCGCATATTGAGGTACCGGGTAAGAAGGCGACCAAGACAGCTGAGAAGCTTGGCGGCAAGTTCAGGACCCCAGATTTCATGGATAGCGTGTATAAATCCACCGGCACTAGGACCTAGCTGTGACTTATCAAGGATACCGGTAATGAATTCGCCGTCGCTAAACAAGACATTGCTCTCTTCGAGAAAGTTGCCCCAAGAAGGTGGTTTTAACTGTGATTTCCCGGTGAGCCAGAGATCACCGCAACCAGCTGGCTTCATATTCTTCAATATGGTTGTAATAACCTGTTTTCCAGTCCAACGCCTAGCAGGCTTGAAGATAGCCGGCGGGACAAGCTCAAGCCTTTCAGATGTGATATGACCACTTTCAGGTCTTAACGCGCCATATACAAGCTGCTGATATGCGCCTTTATCGAAAAATGTATCCTTATTGCAGAGCGCAACGGACACAGACAGATGATCCTGAATCAGACCTCGCAGGGGTTTCCCGGCAGTAGCTGATAGGTACTGATGGTCTGTATCAGCAATCTTTAAAGCTTCTGCTCGAGCAAGCTCATTTTGAGGGAAATGCATATTCATTTCGTCACCATCGAAATCTGCGTTGTACGTGTTACAATTCGCGTAGTGCATACGAATAGTCTTTTCCCCAGGCAGGACTCTGGCTCGATGACCCATGATGGAGGGTTTGTGAAGCGTGGGCTGACGATTCATCAACACCACATCGCCGTTTCCAAGATGCCGGTGGACCTTTTTGCCTTTCACCCCAGCATATTCTTGGCTTGTCGGCGCAAGAAGTTGGTTGGCTAAGGCAACACGGTCCTCCGCAGATTTGTTCTTCAGGTTAATAATTTGCCCGTTCTCATTCTCAATCGCGGTGGCACCGGGCCATTTGTCGACACCATTGATAACTGCCTGTTGCATTTCTCTAAAATTATGGCTGGTTACCGGTTCCGGATATGTTAACTTTTTAGCAAAGACGGGAGGGACACCTATTTCGCTGGTCTCAATGTTAGGATCTGGAGAAATGACACTTCGTGCGGCGTAGTTAACACGCTTGCCCATCATGTTTTTTCTGAAAAGTCCTTCTTTCTTTTCGAGCTTCTGTTTGATACCGTCTTCATTCCTCTTTCCAGCGGCTCCGCGGATGGGATTTCTATCACGGTCAATTAAAGAATTTACACTATCTTGCAATTGAACACAGGCCTCATGCATTTCAGACATGTCTCGCCGCCGGGTTGTCGAATCGGGATCATTTCCAGGCTGCGTGATTTCCTTATGTATCTGAGCAATGCGCGCACAAGATGCAAGAATTTGCTTGTAAAGGGAGTTCTGCTGGGCTTCTGCAATTCCTCCGTCGCCTTGTCGCGCCTCGGGGCGGTATTTGTTAGGCGGAACAAGGACGGTTTGGATGAAGAAGTTGTCGGCAGGGAGTTTCTTCCCTAGAGGTCTCGAGTTGTAAACAAGGCTCATTATTTCTTGCTCTTTTTCAAACAAGAGTTGAAGCCGAGCCTGTACTTCCATCGAGTTGACATAACGCTGCTGAGATTTGGCCGATACGTCCTTCTTCGCCTTAGTAGCTGCGTCGCCACCTTCTGACATGATCACATCGCCATTTTCGTCAAGCTCTTCGCCCTCTCCCTCTTCCTCCTCCTCTTCGTCATTATCCCGGTCGGGCTCTCCCTCACTCGATGGTAAATCAATGTCAGCGATACCTTCGTCCGTCTCGTAGCCACGCTTCTTGGTTACGTCTGCCTTGGATCTCCTTTTGATAGCTAAGGCATCTCTATGCTCGAAATTTCGTAGCGCCATTTTGGCTTGGTCCTTGGCGCTGAGTGGCTTCTCGAAGATTTTGACGAACCGGTCCTTTCGGAAGTTTGGAGATATCGCCTCGCATGTAGCGCACGCTCTGCCTTTGGTTATTTCCCTAAAGAAATTCTTAAGCACTTCTCTCCTTGCCTCAGATGCACCCTCATGTTTTCCCTTCCTGATGTCGGCGGTCCCAACCCTATGGTTCTTTAACGTTGTCTGGGTATAAACTTCTCTCATGCGAGTTATTTTGTCCAGCGCTGAGCTTTCTTCTCCTTCGGAAAGATTTTCATCATCATCGATTTGGATATCGGTAGTCTCGGCTGTAATATCGTCGAGATGATTTGCCGCATCTATAAGGCCAAACTGGAGAAGACGTAGCTTGCAGGCGACCAGGCTTAGATCGGCCCGTCGCATTCGAAAGCGAAAGCAATATTGACATTGCGCGCGTAGTAATCTTAAAATCTGGTCCATAAAAACAGGATGATATACAGGGACTGGAAGGTCGATATGGCCGACATGGCCTGGACAATTCGGCTGCGTGAGATTACATGTTGTGCATCTACCAGTGTTAATTTCATATGCGACGCATGCCACTATCTCCAGATCCTACTTACACCGAATCTCCCCACGCTCCAAGAGCTGGATCGTAAAGTCCACCGGGTATCGGATTTAAAAGACTATCAAATGTGGTCGGGTTTTCAATCCTCTTGACAGAAATAGCTTTGATCTCGGCTGGAGTGAGGAAGTCGAAGTCGACGCTGTCGATAGCCGACTGGATTGGCTGTGAGATATTCATGGCTAACGGTTTTTATAACCTCATAGCCCGGCGCAACCTTCTCAACCCGTTTCGAACTTCGAACTGAAGCCGTCGGAGTTTATAGAGGGTCGAAGCGATCTCAGTAAAACTATATCAACTCATGGCATTGCGGTGTTCTTGTATTATATTGGAGGGCTGGTTGTAAGTCGAGGATATTGTTTTTTTAGTGGGGTTCACGATCAACCAAAATTTTGGAGCTCGAACTTTTTAGCGGTGATAGACGGCAGAAGTAAAAGATCATGTGACACATCTTATCTACCTAGTTAACTTATCATTATCATCAATCAATCACTAGTGCAACTTAGGTAGCGAGTGTGCAACTATCAAAGCAGCTAAGAACCAAGCAGCCAAGGTACATAACAACATACTTTGACCTGTGAGACAAGCGCACGCTGAATAGTAATAGTTCTTCTTTCTTTCTGGGGAACTACCAAATGAATTGCGTGTCGCTCTGTGTGTGGTATTAATTTATTCCACTTACTGTTACCTTGTCTGAGGGAGCCTTTCTTTGTTTAACATCGAGATCATCATCCAAATACCATCCAGACACTTCCCGGGTCGATATATACTTGTCTGCTGATTTCAACTTCACTTGTTCATCTCACAGGGCCAAAGTTATAGCCATATATCATGGAGCGACACGGCTCGCCAGGCCTTGGCCCGCGTAATGATGCTGGGTCTCGAGTACAGAAACCGGAGTCTGCTACGGACAAAGCCGCCAAGCTAGCAGCATTGAAGGCACGCGTATCAGCAGCTATAGGATCTACCAAGGCAAAGGGTGGTCTGAATGTTGGTCTTCATCCAGCGTTGGAAGATATTGGGCAATGGAAGCCTGGCGGCAGCAAGACCAATGACTCGAAATCCGGACTAGGCTCGCGATCACGGAACGATGGCAACAAGGCACAACCGAAACACAAACCCCTCGATCTATCCGGCCCATCGCAAGAGGAAATCAAGAACAATCCTTATTATGACGCGAATCTAAGCGCTCCCGGCGCAAAGCCGAGACAGTCACGTCAACTCATATTCAACCAGAAAGGCAAATACATTCAACAAGCGAATGCGCTACGAAGGCAAGCAGCGCTCGAAGCTCTGAAGAAGAAGATCGCGGCGGGCACGCGCAAGGTCGGAATAGATGAGGACAAAGACGTCGAGAAGAATTTCATCGTCGAAGCTCCCCCAGATGTCGAGTGGTGGGACGAAGGATTAATAGACGGCAAGAACTACGACGAAATAGAAAACCCCAAGGTGCTAAAGATCGACACCGAAGACACGATAATTACTAGATATATCCAACATCCCGTCCCCATCGAACCTCCCCAGGACAAGAACGTCCCCGCTCCGAAACCCATGTACCTAACTTCCACGGAACAAGCCAAGCTGCGTCGACAGCGCCGAATGGCTGACCTGAAGGAGGAGCAAGCCAAGATTCGACTCGGCCTTGTCCCCGCGCCGCCGCCAAAGGTCAAGAAGGGCAATCTAATGCGTGTCCTAGGCGAGGAAGCCGTCAAGGACCCCACGGCCGTCGAAGCCCGCGTGAATCGCGAGATCGCGGATCGGCACAACAAGCACGTGCAGACGAACGAGGAGCGAAGACTGACCAAGGAGCAGAAGCATGAGAAGCTAGCCACGAACCAGGAGAAGGACGCGGCCAAGGGCTTGCATATGCTGGTGTTCAAGATCAACAGTCTGGCGAACGGCCAGCACCGGTACAAGATCAGCGTCAACGCCGACCAGCTCGCTCTCACGGGATTGGTTATTATGCACCCCAAGCAGAACCTAGTGATCGCGGAAGGCGGCGAGTGGTCCATCAAGCACTACAAGAAACTACTCCTGAACCGCATCAACTGGACCGAGAACCTGCCCTCTCGCGAGAAGGACGCACAGAACGAGGCATTGAAGGAATGGCTCAAGGCCGAGAACGAAGAGGGCGATCTAAAGGATCTAGCCGAGAACCAGTGCAAGCTGATCTTCGAGGGAGAGGTCAAGTCCCGCGCGTTTAGGAAATGGGGTTCCAAGGTCTGCGAGACGGACAGCGAGGCGAGGGAGGTGTTATCAAAGTCCAAGATGGAGAACTTTTGGAATCTCGCGAAGTCGACCCATTAAGTTAGAGCTATCTACTACGTAGTAGTTGAATTAATCACACCGTTAGGCTATGAGATTGTGTAATAAAACGACGCGAATATTAAGAGGACCAATTACTATGAGTATGATGTTGACTTGATATTAAACCGTGGTCAATTTTGTATTAGTTATAGGTAGTTAGGTATTTAACCTTGCGGCGCTGGCTGCTTGTTTCAATGCCTGAGAACCCCCAAGCTCCAATGTGATTTAATTGTTATACAGAATATCGAGCTGGTGACTATCTATCCGCACACACTCCCGTTCACGCGGCGTCAAGTTCCATCATGCCCTCGTCGAGGTCGTCATCATCCATATCGAAGTCATCGTTGTAGTTCCGCATAGCCAACAAAGCCTGGGCCCTATGCATAGCTTCGATGGCCGCATTGTCATCTTGCAACTCCTTGATCCTTTCCTCGTCGACCTTCTTTTGGTGCTCTTTCAGATCTTCGAGACTCCACATGCTGATCCCTTCTTGGTCCTTAGCTTTGAAGGGTCGTGCCATGTCTCGTAAGAAGCGCCTAGCTGTGATAACAGCCATATCTGTGCTCAGGTTCCCGTCGACTTCTTGCATGGCCTGGTTGATCCATTTAGGGAGTTGGAGTCTCTTCTTTTGGAACCGGCGGTCGGCTAACACCATGATTCCGTAGTCGTCTTTGCCTCGGAGCACACGACCTAGGCATTGTGCGGCGTGTCGCATAGCGTCGAAAGATAAGAAGTCATTTTCTCGAATACGATATGTTTCTCGAAGGAACTGTAGTCTGGCTTTGAGGATACGCGACTCCGTGTATTGGAACGGAACGCCGATACATAACACAGTTCGACCGTACTGGTGGTCGAAATCGATACCTTCTGACACCTTCCCACGAGCCACACATAGGAGGACAGCACCTCTGCCATTGCAGCAGGCCATACGGTATGTCTCGAGTGCAAGCGAAGTTTCTTGGGCGTCCGGCGTTTCGACCAAGATGAGCTTGTACTTCCAGACCTCGTCTAATATGCCCATTCCCTGCCACATGCTAATAATAGATTCCATGTACAAATATGATGGGAAGAAGACGACCATACCGTCTGGAGTAATTCTTGCGAATTCGGTCAGGAGGTTACCGTAATTGCGGACCACACTAGGCTCATTCCTAACTGTGAAACTGGTGGAGATAGTTGCTTGGTCGCTTCCTCGAGTAACGATCATTGGTAAGAAAGATCGTCTCGCCAGGGTCATCGCGTATGACTCCTGGACGACCGTGGAGAACCCTAACATCTTCGGGTACATCTCCAAGGGCGAGATAGTACCGGATGTGATGATGACAGAGCTGAACCTGTCGAACACGGGTTTGATAGCGATTGCCGCATCCAAGCATGTGAAATGTAAAACTGGGTTTGGTACTTCTGCAGTATCTGACTCGAAGGGCTCAAGGATGAGTAAGAATCCCTTCTCGTATGTGGCGACAAGAGTCGCGAATGTCGCTACTTCTTGTAGTGGTTGATAGTCTTCGATACTGGTTAGCTCGAGCGTCCTCACTAGGGAGGTTAGTCTTTCAGCACAGAAGCGCAGCGGCTTCTTCTCGATGAAAGTGTGCTCCTTGAGATGTGCTAGGAATGATGGCGGTGTTTCTGATATGACTTGTCGAACCTTCATACGCGTTTTGAGGTATTCGATAAATCGTTTTAGGAAAGCAGTAAAATGCTCAGCTCTCCGGATGTTTCCAGGGACCGCCTCTTTCAACAAGTCATCGGGAAGAACGGGGTTGGCCATAAAAGTATCTTCCTGCCGAGCCTCATCGGCATCTCTAAGGCCCTCCACTAGCTTCTGGTACTCATTTTCCAACTGTTCCCGATCTGTCTCCTTCATCTCCGAGATCTTACGTTCCAGGTTTTGAGCACCCCTGGTGGCCTTTCGCAGGGAATCTTCTGTGATATCTGTGCTTAAAGACTCGATACAGACGTTGTCTATGTTGTGAGCCTCGTCGAAAACAACAATACAGTCCTTCGAGAGCTCTTTAGATACACGTTCTGCTATCTTGGGGTCTAGCAGGTAGTGATACGAGTAGATTATAACGTTACAATATTGCATCTATAAACCGGAAAACGTGAGCTCTGTGCCTCTAGCAATGTAGACACCGGATAGATGAACTCGGAGGAACTTACCATTCGCCTCGATGTGAAATAGGGGCACTGCTTGTGCTGCTCGCCATATCTCAGTAGGCCATCAAGGGTCCAAACGCCGTTAGGTACAAGGTTGTGTGGTTCCAGAAGGTCCAGATTGTCATGGTACACGCATGTCTCAACACTCTCGCCTTTGTCCTTCTTTTCTCTGACGAAGCCAGCAGTCAAGCTACGACACCTAGCATCCACGATGGTGCCGCTCTTTTCTCTCTTGACCGAAGGATGGAGACAGAGATTCTTACGACTTGTTAGGCCTAGGCCGCGAAAATCTTCTACGTGGCCAAGTTCATCGGCCCTGAATTTCATCAGGGCCTTGAGTTCGGCCAATGCCTTTTCGATTTCTGACATGGTACGAGAACAGTAGATGAGCTTCCGGTGTTCGGGATAGTGTTGTTGATATGCGACGATCAGCGACAGCAGCGAGACAGTCTTTCCGGTCCCCGAAGGCATCTCTAATACGCAGTGCCCGCCTGCGTCGAGAGTCTTCTTCAGGTCACACATATATGCATATTGCTCCGGATATATCCGTGGATACGGAAAGAGAACCGGAAGGTCGTCAATGAAGAACTTCATCTTTGCTGGATTTTAGGCAAATATGATATGAAGGTGAGCGTGCAGAGTTCAAATCATTAGAGGCTCTCTTATGGTGAGAGAAATTCGTATGAGACTCGATGTAGTTGTCGACGAAGACCTTAGAGAACGCGTACTGGCGCGGGTATGTTAAGGTCGTTTTCGTGGAGCCTCCTTCAGTTGCGGTCTCGTAGAAATATTACAAATAGCATGTTATGTGCTTGGTTGACCGGTAGCAAAGAAACTAGCTCAACTTGGATATTCTTCTTTTACTATATTCTCAAACCGGCTTCAGACTTTTGCATGT